TCTCCCTGTGACTTCCGTATCGGGAGCTCCGCTTTTAGGCAGTGCCTAAATATATATATTACACTTATGAAATTATCGTACTCAAGGTGCTATCTGTCTGTCTGTCTGTCTGTTTGCCTGCCTGCCTACCTCAGTCGATAAATTTTCTAGTTAGCCACTTTCCTTTGTTTGTCCAATGTATGTCAGTCAGTCAGTGCGTTTGTCTGTCCAATGTCTGTCGTTGTTCCTTTTCGAGTGTCCAAGGTCAGTCTGTCTGTCTGTCTGACTGCCCGATTGTCCAATGTCTGTCAGTCAGTCAGTCTGTCTGTCTGTCCAATGTCTGTCTGTCTTGTTATCTGACGTTTTTTTGTCTTTGCCTCCAAAACCATCATGATCAACCACGCCTGTACTTCATACAGGTACACGGTGGCACTACTTTCCAAGACATCGAAAAGAAAGTACAACAAGCCCAACAAATGGCGAAAGAAAATTCCAAAAACAACGTGGAAACAATCTTATTTTTTGACGAAGTGAACACCACAGAAGCACTTGATCTTGTGAAGGAGATCATGGTGGATCGACGATTAAATGGACGTCCTCTTGATTCACAAGATGATGGTTTACGCTTCATTGCGGCCTGTAACCCTTATCGAAGGTAAGCCCACGTATGCGCGTCATATAGCAGAATGTATTGACACGGGCTTTCGGACCTATTTTAGCTTGCAAAGTAGCCCAGTTTGCACCAGTTAGCACCTTCTTGATCACTAAAAGCCTTTTTATTGGTTTCCACAGACACACAGATACAATGATTAAGAAGCTGGAATCTGCTGGACTTGGTTACAGTGTCAAGACAGGAAACACAACAGAACGAATCGGTAGGTATATATCATGCTAGCTACTTGACTGACTAACGTCCAGCGACGTCTTATGGTAAAATCAAGAAGTATTACAAGGGAGGAAAAAGCAAAGCTTGGGCTACCTGTTTATCAATGAAGTTAGGTTTTCACCCGTTGAATTCGGCGCTAAATTCCCGCGCTTTCATAGCAAAACACTTTGTGATATGGGATTGTTTACATTATTAACCGACCATTCACTAATAACAATCCTAAACACTTGTTTCAGGTTGCATTCCTCTACGTCACCTGGTTTACCGTGTTCATGCTTTGCCCGACAGCATGAGATCTTTGATCTGGGATTTTGGTCAACTCAAACCTGATGTGGAGCTACTTTATACCAGGCAGATCGTCTTGCGACATGTAAATTAATATTCTTTAGAATTTTAGAAAGTCACAACACTGACTAAATGACGTCCATTGAATTACAGTGCGCATGATCACTGGTCGTCCAATCAGAATGATCGGGCACTTCAACGGCACGTAATGAATGGCGTCCATGAATAACAATGCGCGTGATACTGGTCGTCCAATCACAATGACCGCATGTGCTACGATCACGGCGCGGCTCTTCCTTAGCGTGGATTTTTTTCATTTCATACGAAAACTTCTCGTTTGCCTGTAGGTGATAACAGAAGAACGTATTCCTGGTGATGAATCCCTAGTGGACGCCATTACAGCAGTACTAGCTGCATCCCAACAATACATGAGAGAACAATCAGTAAGTATCATCCACAATGGATAATTATTATTATTATACATTTTACTAAGTATCTCAATTCTGATTGGTGGAGAACCCTCAGCCAATCCCTGATTCGATATCGTGTGAACTCGACATGATAAATGTATTATCTGTAGGTTTTCCTACAGATAATACATTTATCATGTCAAGTTCATTCAAGCTCACGCTGTGGTAACTTTGTTTTTATTCATCATGTGTATTTATTTCCAGAATTATGTACAAAAACAATTATTTAAGGAATCCTTAACTTATTTTCATATATTTTATGAAGAATTCTTAATATATTTTTGAATTAAAATTTTTGCGTTTTTCACGCTACATCATGGCGTTCATAATTCTTGTCTCTATAATTTAATGCCCATGTTAATGTTTTTCCAGTATACAAAATGTATAATAAAGCAATGATTGAATTCGGTATCGCATAATATTGTAAATATCAAGACCTTGGCTGTGTTGTCTGCCGAAGCCTTCGGCAGATAACACAGCCTCGGTCTTGATAATTTACGATATCATGCCCAACCTTATCCAATAATTGCTTAATGGTATTCATTTATTCATTTATTAATAATGGTTATTTTATTACCAGGACGAGTGCAGCTTTGTTAGTCTTCGTGATGTGGAGCGTACGATGAATGTAATGGTGTGGTTCTACGAACATCGAGAAGTTTTTCAAAAAATCGCAAAAGAAGAAGTCAACGACACTTATGGAGGGACTGATAGCGAGGACAACTCTGACGATGAGGAAAATCCTGATTATGATGATGGTGATGATGGTAGTGATGATAGTGATGATGGGGAGGAGGAGGAGGAGGAGGACGATGATCATGAGGATGAGAGCGATAGCGATAGCGATGGGCACGTCAAAGAAAATAGAAACCAAGATGAGGAACAAACATCAAGAGAAAACGAAAAACCATGGCCAATTTTTTTGTTTTCTGGCTTAAGGAGAAGTAAAGTCAGTCAGCAAGAGTACCCTGCTGAATTAGAACCCATTCCATCGGGATCTAGTAGAAGCTTTCAACCCACCTTTTCTGCTGTTGGAAATGAGCATCTCCCAGAGAGGCCATTCCTCTTTGATGAAATACAAGACATGCCTATTTTCATCGAGGAGGAAGAAGAAGACTTGGATGACCCCACGAAGGTGGTTAAACAAGTGGTTGCATTTATTATAAATATATTTATATTTTTACTGATTATTGTTACTATTTTTAGGACCTTGATCCAGTCACGTGGTCTCTTATCCTAGCCATTGGTGTTTGCTATCACGCAAAGCTACAAGACAGAACACAATATCGTCAGGACATAGCAAAAACCTTCAAACGTCCATGTCTTTTGTATGGTGGTGCAGACAGAATACTGCAAGAACTTTCACGGTATTTATGGGACATTGAATTACTAGCTATTCGTTATTGGTTATGTCTGTCTCCGTAAAAAGTAAAATTTTGGAGCTGTTTTCGTATGTAGGAAACGAAACGTACTGTTCACGTACCGCATTACACCGTACCTGTGACAGCGCGTTGTAGTTGGATCAAATTACTGGAAGACCATAGGAGGCAATTTCAGTGTAAAAGGCAACAGCAATGTATCGTACGATTCATTATATATATATATATCTTAGATTTCTCTTTTGCTAATTCACAGGCTAAAAAACATGATACAAGTAGCAAGTAGTGCAAGAAACTTGCACAAAATCATGGCTTTTCAGAAGAATATAGAATCAAAAGATGATAACTAAGTCCTTATTACAAAGTGCGACAGACTTTATTACAAAGTGCGACAGCTTTTTCTTATTACAAAATGCGACAGGGTTTATTACAAAGTACGACAGTTATTACAAAGTGCGACAGTTATTACAAAGTGCGACAGTACACACTCATACGATTACCGTTTAAAAGCTTCCGGCGTGCTCATCGATTACCACAATTCTTTTTTTGTCTACCAAGTACTTAACACGGTATATCATGTTTTAGTTGCCAGAAAGCAGTGCTAAAAGAACTTGATCCAGGTCCAAACATCGCTTGCAACACAGCCCTCAGTGAGAACGTGTTCATGATGGTGGTTTGTATCGAGCTTCGTATCCCTTTGTTTGTCATCGGTAAACCAGGCAGCTCCAAATCACTCGCCAAGACAGTTGTGGCTGACAGCATGCAAGGAGATGCGTCCAGGTCCAAGCTTTTCAAGTCTTTCAAAGAGGTAACTTTAATGTCGCACCAGTGCAGTCCTCTGTCCACCCCTGAAGGGATACAGGAGACATTCAGACAGTGTGCAAACATACAGAAAGATAAAAACCCAGAGACGTTTGCATCAGTGGTAGTACTAGACGAGGTTGGCTTGGCTGAAGATTCACCTTTGATGCCACTGAAGACACTTCACCCGTTACTGGAGGATGGCGTGACGTCATCTGATGACATCATCGAGACAGACGAAAAACCAACTCGAGTTGCCTTTATTGGGCTATCTAACTGGGCACTAGACCCTGCCAAGATGAACCGAGGGATCATGCTGTCACGTGACGTTCCGAATGAAAGGGAACTGGAAGACAGTGCAATGTGAGTGAATTAGATAAATATTCATATCAATATAGTATGATGCAAGTGCATGTGTTGAGGGAATCAATGGTGGTGTAGTGGTAGTACACTCGCCTGACTCACCTCTGGGTTCAAGGGTTAGATATCTTAACTTGTTATCACATGTGAGTAGAATCAACCCCTCCCATCCCCTCGTAGCCCGAGAAAGCGTACCGTACTGAAGCTGATGATTGGTTGTTTTCAACAGGGGGATTTGCGCAAGCAATGAAGAGGTACAAGAACTAATGAAACCCATCATCCCAGCACTAGCAGCGGCTTACTCAGACCTATACCAAAAGCAGAAAGAAATCAAAGTACTGACAACTGCAAATAAGGACGAATTCTTCGGACTGAGGGATTTTTACAGGTAAAAACTATTTTTTTATTTTTTTCCCATTTTGTTAGACCATGTGTCATTTCCTAATAAGGGATGTTTCACACTTCGACATAAGTATAAATATAAGCATAAGAAACAGAATACTATTGCAATTCTTATTCTTATGCTTATGTACGCCCGGTTCACCCTTTGGATTTCACAAGCATAATAAGCGGAAGCGGGAGCAGAAGCGTAAGACGTCTTATGTTCCTGTGAAAATCAAAAAACGGAGACGTAAGCAGAAGCAGAACATCGACGGAAGCATAAGCAGAAGGAACGGAAGGCTTCCTTTTTCTTATGCTTCTGCTTCTGCTTCCGTCCTTCCGTCGCTAATGAAAACCATGCTCACGCTCACGCTCACGCTCACGCTCACGCTCACGCTCACGCTCATGCTCACGCTCATGCTCATGCTCATGCTCATGCTCATGCTTATGCTCATGCTTATGTGATGCTTATGCTTATATGCTTATGCTTATGCTCATGCTTATGTGATGCTTATGCTTATATGCTTATGTCGTATGTTACCAGCGTGGTTGGTCCTTGTAGTGTAGTGGTTAACACATCGGACTAGAATACCGAAGACGTGGGTTCGAATCCTGCCAAGGGCATTTGATATTTTTCTCTTATTCTCTCTACTTCATTATATACACACGGAACGCATAATTTATTACTACTGCTTATGTCGTAGTGAGGACCAGGCTTTAACGGCTTTAACGATTGTGCATGAGAAGAGACATAAATATTGATAAAACTTAAACAAAGAATCTCATACTCAAGGGGATGACACCTGTTATGAAATGGGGAAACATTACGCCCTAGGTAAAGAGGTATATCACATTCAGGTTGGGCACTGTAGACTAGTAAAAAAAAAATCTACAAAGCTTTTTGCTGTTGTATCACAGCGTGGGACAATCACAACAGAGCTAGGCTCCAAACTAAGTGAAAGCCCAAAGATCGAATTAGAATTTAGAAGTTGATTTTTGAGGAAGGAGGGAAACCGGAGAACCCGGAGAAAACCCCCCGAAGCACAGGAGAGAACCAACAAACAACTCCACTCACATACGACATCGAGATCAGCAGGACTCGAACTCTGGCCGCATTGGTGAGAGGCGGCGCATTAGCCGCGCACTCCACCGGTGCTCCAAGCTTTCTGATAAACGGTATCAGATGAACGCCGTTTAATGTTGTTAAAATGTAGGTAGCTTTGCATGCTACTAAGTTACAAAACACTGTTTTTCATGCAGTTTGATGAAAAGTATTGAATAAACCAACCAGTATTGAATAAACCGACAAGAATTTTTTCTGTTTAGTCTGATAAAATTGTTGCGCGTCATCGCTGAGAAGAAACGTCTTGTCCCTGATTGGAGGGATGTAGAATATGCTGTAAGACGTAACTTTGGTGGACTTGATGTCGATGAGCTGAAACCAGTAGACATCTTTATGGAGCATCTTGGTATCGATGACCACGTTAGAAGGGTAATGTAAAAATGTATCTAGCGAAGAAAGAAAGAAAAGAAAGGCGGTAGAAGGAAGAAAGGAATGAACAAACAAACGAAGGAACCAACAAACAAACGAATACGGACGTACATACTAACGAATCGATGGATGAATGGACAGATGAAGGGAGGGAGGGGGAGGGATTGATGAATGGATAGAAATGACTGATTTTTTTAACGATTTTTAATAGAATGAGCAAATATTTTCATTTGTTAGTAATGAAATGTTCCACCGTCTGCTTTCATTTGCAGGAAGAAAATGATCAGGCAAGAGACGTTAGTCCTTTAAAACTCATCGAGTCCAGCCTGGAAAAAGATTCTTCGGAAAAGTAAGAAAATGATTCAATATTAACAAGGGTTTTAGATGTACTTGTTATCTCAATCATCTTCTAATTTTTCTTTATAGAGATAGTCGTTACCTGCTCATTCTGACGGAGAACCATGCTGCTCTTGCTATTGTTGAACAACATCTAAAACAGATGCAAGACAGAAAACAAGATCATCTCGATGCTGTGTTGATCTTCGGCAGCAGTTTCCCTAAGGACCTTGAATATACCCAGGTAAACAGTAGCTAAAAGATTATGATTCAGTGTTATTAATATTCATTAATAATCTCTGATATTGCCGAAAGGTGTTACTAATAATCTCTAATATTTTTGAATGGTGTTACAAATAATCACTAATAATATCTGATATATCGTCGAAAAGTGTTATAATCATTAATAATCTCTAATATTTTTGAATGGTGTTACAAATAATCACTAATAATAATAATATCTGATACATCAACGAAAGGTTTTATAATCATTAATAATCTCTAACATTTTTGAATGGTGTTAATAATAATTTTCTCTGTTATTTTTGAAAGGTTTGTCGAAACATCAATGATATTAAAGTATGTATGGAAACTGGTCGCACCGTTATTCTGCTGAATATGGAAAGTCTTTACGAGAGCTTGTACGATGCTTTGAATCAGGTGAGTACATCCATCATAAAACGATATATTATCCATCTTTTTAGGTCTCTACGCAGTATTTCTTTTAGATGGGAATATCGAGTAACTTATATTACGTGGATAATAATTGATTGGGTTGGAATTTACAAACTATTTTTGTGGACGGAGGTAACCCGGAGAAAAAGCGCAACAAGAAATTGACTTGTGACAGCGGATCTAAGTATTAGACATTTCATATTAAAAAGGATAGGTCGATTTGCATTTGCAGTGCTTTGTGGAGCTGTTATTAGGGGACGCGGCCATTTTGGGAATATGTCTCCTTGAACAGTCCCACAATGCACTGCAATGCCAAATCGACCCAATCTTTTCCTCAACCTTGGAATGGCTAGACCCATTCCCTCTGCGGCATGGGCTGCGGCGCATTAGTAGCGCGTCCCGTCTACACTTGCCTTCATAAGGTAAAGATACATTACACAGATTCGATATGTGGTTGAGTAACGTTGGTGACTAATGACATTTGGTTTTTTCAGTATTACATAGAATTCGCAGGCAACCGTTATGTTGACCTTGGCTTAGGAACACACCGTCTCAAGTGCAGAGTACACAAGGACTTCAGGTAAACCTACACTGACGGCTAAGATTCTCAATATTCCAATAACCACCAACAACGTTTTGTCTAGCGCATGGAGAATTCTTTACTGACTGGAAAAGTGATCTCGCGCGCTGTGATTGGTTCAAACAATCTTGTCAGACTGTACTGTGACCGCGCCATACTCCGTGCAGCTCCACAGTCTTTGCGGATTTCTTCTTCGTCTCCTCCGCAGGCAACTCTCGCTCATTTCACAGGAAGCCCAATTTCTTTCCTTCTTTTCTTTTAGAGAGTTGCCAGCGGAAGATGCTAGAATCTACTCTAATAATTTTTTTTTTGTTTGATGATTATTCACAGGCTCATCGTAATAGCCGAGAAGGACACGGTGTACAAAAAGTTTCCAATCCCATTGATAAACAGACTGGAGAAACATTTCCTTCTTTGGTCCACAAGCCTCACAAAACCACAAGAGGAATTGGTCGCAACGCTTAAAGGTTGGGTTCAACGTTTCTCGAGCATCGAACTACCAGGCTACATAAGAAATAAAAAGTGAGTTATTTATCCTGAGTCAAAAGTTTGCCTGTAGCTTGATGTAGTATGCTTAGATAGTAAAAATATCAACCCAAGAGTTCAAGTCAAGAGACAGAGACGCGGCGGCCATGTTGGTGGTATAAGCTAAATGAGCCTATTGAGAAATCTGTTGCAAAATACCAACATGGCGGCGATGACGTAGCGTGCAAAAGAAAAGCTAGACCTCTAATAATCGTTTTTTTTTATGTCAGGAAATTCACAGAAGATGACGCGTTTGTTGGTTACCATGACGACACCATTCCTACAGTAGTCTTGCAAGTTTGCAGTCAACTTCGACAAGATGGAACAACAGTTGATGAAGGAAACAAAGATCAATGGGAAGAGGAGGTAATCGTTCACCCTGATCTAAATCAGGGCATGGCTAACTCACAGTTCAAACCCTGAAACAACCACTGGGCTGATCTAAATCAGGGCATGGCTAACTCACAGTTCAAANCTGATCTAAATCAGGGCATGGCTAACTCACAGTTCAAACCCTGAAACAACCACTGGGCTGATCTAAATCAGGGCATGGCTAACTCACAGTTCAAACCCTGAAACAACCACTGGGCTAATCTAAATCAGGGCAAAGCTAACTCACAGTTCAAACCCTGAAACAACCACTGGGCTGATCTAATTCAGGGCAAAGCTAACTCACAGATTGAACCCTGAAACAACCACTGGGCTGATCTAATTCAGGGC